TTTAAATTATTATTATTTTTTTTACCCATCTTTCGATTGCAGAGAATTGAGCGGTTAAACTGCAGGGGCATGATCTACACACCAAATGCTAAAGTTGTTTTGGTACTTATAGTGTCCCTTTAAAAAAAATGGTAAATATAAATAAAACAACAATGAATCAGCTGGTTTAAATGTACATTGGTTTGACATGTGACCGCTCCTATGTAAGGGCATAATGCTGTCACTTTATATTAATATCAATAGCTGTTTAATGGTTGTTTTTTTAAAGTGTAGTTTATTATTACTTTGTTGACCTGTTGGCCGCTCAAGCTTTATTTTCACCTATAAAATTTGACCTTAATAGATACCAGATCCAGAGTCTGTCACTGCTGATCTTATCATCAGTCTTCTTGTGTTTCAAAGTGATTGGAGGCGTGCAAATTATGGGGCCATTTCCAACCCCAGACAGGCGTTTTATTGCAGTGTAATTGTTAGCAGGAGGTTGGGATAGGAGAAGTGATAGCAGGATGGCAGATTTAATGATATGATGACAGCTTCAGTCCCTTTAACTGATGGGCCTAGCCATCCCAAGCAGCTGGAAATGGGTGTTTAGAAAGAGCCCCTGTCAAGTTTATAAGGAGATTAAAATAACATTTCTGTGATCCCCCTTTAGCTGAGCTTCCAGAAATGGGTCTATAATTACACTTTCTTTAGAAACAGACAGTCAATTCTTTCTCATTTTAAAAGATCACAGCAGGAGCCTTTATTTAGTTTCCTTAGATGAACAGTGCTTTGTCAAAATATATTTCATTGTGTTATATAAAGGGACACCTAAAGCAGTATTACTTATTGCTCATTGCATAGGTAATTTTGCAAAGAGGCCCTCTCTCCCTATCTGCTTGCACATAGTTGCTTATACCTTTATCAAAAAATGTACGCAGCTATAACCTTCACTTTTGAGCTCAGATGTCAAAAGACACAGCTCTTTTTTTTTCTTTACCTTTAGAAATAACAGGAGTTGTATATGACAAGAGATGATGGAATGTTATGTTTCAGAATCTGTTGCTGTGTGAAGAAGACCTTTATCTACTGAATCCCTAGATTATTTTTGCTTGAGACAATATCCCTGCCGCACTGCAAGGAAGTCTCTTCCTTCTATGCTATTGCCAAAATTATTAGAAGTGTGGGTGATTTACGTCTAAGGTGCTGGTCCATGCTCTTGTTCTCTCTCGCCTTGACTTCTGCAATACCCTTCTCAGTGGTCTTACATGTTCCCAGATTGCACCGCTGCAATCTATAATGAATGTGGCGGCGAGGCTCATTTTCCTGTCCGCCCGTACCGCCCACGCCTCCCTGCTCTGTCAGTCCCTGCACTGGCTTCCAGTTAAATATAAGGCTCAATTTAAAATTCTGGTGCTTGCTTACAAGTCCCTATATAATGCTGCTCCAACCTACCTATCCTCCATAATACAGAAGTATGTCCCGTCGAGGCCCCTACGCTCTGCCAAAGACCTAAGTCTATCCTCTGTCCGCACTTCCACCTCTGATGCTCGCCTCCAAGCAGGGCCGGCGCTACCATTAAGGCGAATTAGGCATTCGCCTGGGGCGCCGACCTGAAGGGGGCGCCCACCTGGAGGTTTCTGGGTGGGCTGCTCCTGTGGGTGGGCAGCGGGCTTCTCCTGCATGGGGTCGGAGTGTTGGGTAAGTGGCTGTTTAGCCAAACCCCAGCGCAGCCATATCCTGTGCTCCCTCTGCCTCCCTGATGCTGCAGTGCCGATCATCTGCTCAGGGAGAGGGGATCTGTTGAATCCCCAGCACCCGAGCAGAGCACTGTGCTTCCTGCAGGCAGGGGAAGCCGGGATGTGACCTGGTATCCCGGCTGCCCCCTGCCTGTGAACACAGGAAGCACTCTGGAGGGAGCTGGAAGCAGCCTGTGCTCACAGTGCACGGCTCTCCTGCTCCACCAGGAACCAGGGCAGATACCTGCAGGCTGAAAGATGATCCCCTTCTCCTCCAGTCACTTCACTAGAACAGGTATGGCATCACTGGAGGATAAGGGGAGATGGTTATTATTGTGTGTATGTTTGAACATTGGTGTGTTAAGTTTGTTTGTGGGTGTGTGTTTTAATAAACTGACTATATGTAAACTGGTGTGAGTGACATTGTGTGTGTGTGTGTATTTCAGTGAGAGTGTGTGTGTGTTAGTGAGAATGTGACATAGTGTTTGTGTGTATGTGTGTGTTTGTCAGTAAGAGTGTGTGTGTGTGTGTGTGTGTGAGATGGTGTAAGTGACGTGTGTGTGTGTGCCAGTGAGTGTGTGACCAGTTATATTTCTAATACATTAATATAATTATATATTATATTGAAAAAATTTTTTACTTACAGTGTGCCTTTCAGACAAGTTCCCTGTCGCACACATTAAATACCACCATTATCATAAACTAAATGCACAATAGTATAAGTTAAATCCCACCAAATGAATTGAATAAATTTGTTATAACAACCATAAATGTATACAATGTAAAATGTATATGTATTAGGCAGTATGTGCATATGGATGTGTGTGTTGGGCAGTATGGATGTGTGTGTTGGGCGCGTATGGATGTATGTGTTGGGCAGTATGTGCGCATGGATGTATGTGTTGGGCAGTATGTGCGCATGGATGTATGTGTATGGGGATGTATGTGTTGGGCAGTATGTTCGTATAAATGTATGTGTTGGGCAGTATGTACGTATGGATGTATGTGTTGGGCAGTATGTGCACATGGATGTATGTGTTGGGCAGTATGTGCGTATGGATGTATGTGTTGGGCAGTATGTACGTATGGATGTATGTGTTGGGCAGTATGTGCACATGGATGTATGTGTTGGGCAGTATGTACGTATGGATGTATGTGTTGGGCAGTATGTGCGTATGGATGTATGTGTTGGGCAGTATGTGCACATGGATGTATGTGTTGGGCAGTATGTGCACATGGATGTATGTGTTGGGCAGTATGTGCACATGGATGTATGTGCTGGGCAGTATGTACGTATGGATGTATGTGGTGGGCAGTATGTGCATATGGATGAATGTATTAGGAAGTGTGTGTATAATGGCCAGTGAGTGTGTATGGTTAAATGTATATATTAGGCAGCGTGCGTGTATGGTTGTATGTATTGGCAGTCTGTGTGTGTATGGATGGATGTATTGGCAGGGTGTGTGTGTAGGGATGTATGTATGTATTGGCAGTGTGTGTATGTATTGGCAGTGTGTGTGTGTTCATATTGGACAGTTTATTTTTCCCCCCCTAAATGTCTGCTCACTGTGTCTCTCCTAAAATGTCTTGTAGTCTGTATTGGTTTCCTAAAAACCTCAACAATCTCTCTATCCCTTTCCTAATTGCCTTCCCGGTCTGTTCCCTTTCCCTAAATTTATCACTGGTCTCTCTGCTTTCCCTTAGACACTTAGGTGTCTATTCACTAAACAGTGATTTGAAAAAGTTGAGATGACTTTATACAACTCTTCTGTTTTGGCCTAAATGTTTCAAGTTATATTTCAACTCACTGTTTAATGAATAGACAGGGAAAAGAAAAGAAGAGAAATTGACAGAAGATAATTACCGGGTTATTCACTAAAGTGAGAATTGTAAGTGTAAGGGCAGAGTAGCCAAATCTGGAGAATGTTAACAGGTGTTTTGACCATAAATTAGAAGTTCAATTTGAATTCCCAACAATTCTCACTTTATTAAATAACCCTATTGGAATAAAGAGAAACAGAACTGGAGAGAATCAGTTACATAGAGTGAGCAGATAAATCGTGAACATAGAGACTGCAAGCTTTGGGAAACAGAAACAAAGGAGAAAGCTGGGGATAAACGCTAATGAGAGAGTTTGGGCACTATGGAGGAAAGGGACAGATGATCAGAACTAATTAAAAACCAAATGGCAAAATGTATACCATTTAGAAGAATTCGCCAACTCCGCTACAGTCACAGTTCAGCTGTTTTTGCTTAAACTATGCAATTCGATTTCCAATTCACTGAATTCATAGTTTAGTGAATAAACTTCTGAGAGAGTGTAGTTGCATTCAAGAGGGGGCGGCAAGAATCCTTGCACCGGCCCTGCCTCCAAGATTTCTCCAGGGCTGCACCTCTAAGGTGGAACGCTCTTCCCTTCTCCGTAAGACTTTCACCCAGTCTCCACTCACTCAAAAAATCATTGAAAACTCACTTCTTAAAGAAAGCAGATCTATTAAACTGTAAGCAGGCTTTTATCCCCCACCCTCCATGACTCCTCTCCTGAAACTGTCAAAAATTACCTACTAAGCCCTCAATTAATACTTTTCTAGCAACCTACTTTGTACCCCTACTTTTACCCCTTGTGTCACTATACCCCACTCCCTATAGAATGTACGCTCATTGAGCAGGGCCCTCCACCTCTCTGTTCCTGTACGTCCAATTGTCTGGTTACAATTACATGTCTGTTAGTCCACCCAATGTACAGCGCTACGGAATGTGATGGCGCTATATAAATAATAAAATAATAATAATTTAGCAGCCTAAACCTCTCACGAATAAAGTGATCTAAGTGATCTTGTGTGAATGGGGGATCTAGACTCCCCCTAGCAGACGCACTGCCTGCAATGTTAGACTATCATTAAAGCTTAATACTTTAATAATTAACTATACGAACAAATACAGAAATTCGGACATCACTTCCTCCCAGCAGCACTTGCTTCCGGCTGCATTTTTTTTTTTTAAAGGGGCCCGGTCGCGCTATTACAGCGCCGATCGGGCCCCTGAAGATAATAGGGCCCATTGGGTGGCCCTAAATGCTTGGGCCATCTGATGGGCCCCATCAGCGTGTGGGCCCCGGTGCAGATGCACCGGCGGCAGTTCCACTGATCCACGTGGGGCCCGGGCGGCCGGGCCCCCCAGGGCCGCAGGGCCGGTGACATTTGTCACGGTTGCCATGCCCTGATGGCGGCCCTGACAAGAGTTGTTGCGGTTCGATCTGCCGTCCTGGCTCGCTCCAGAGAAATGGGGAAGATCCACTTTGAGGGCAGCACTGTGGCAATTTACAGCGACCTACTATTTGCTGTTCTGCTGGAAAAACGGCTGCTGGCTCCGATCGCTAGTCAGTTGCGGGGTCACTCCGTGAAGTATCGCTGGGGCGCTGATGGCTCACTCATAGTGACAACTGGAGATTCCACCCTGAGCCTGACATCCTCTGGAAATGCAAAGATGTTCCTACAAAAGCTTAACTTACCGGAGGAGGGGGTAGATGCCCAAGCCAGAGGAACTGTGACATTACGAGCCTCTATAGGCTTCCAGAGTTTGAGGACTTACCCTGCTTTAGCCCTAAGATGAGCTATACCCCAGTTTCTCATCCCTACCTAGTATGCCATAACACCGTGGTCATCAGATACAGAGTATTCAGTTTTCGGTATAAGTGTCCTCCCATACTGGTCACAGGCTGTTAATTACCTGTCACACTTTAATTTAAATTGCCTCGACCAATACCATAACATGACACATGTATACCCTTATTTTTATCCGTACAATTTTATATTCTTTATGTTTATGTAATGTCAATCGTCTTAGCGACCCTCAGTTACAGAGCACCTATATATGAGGTCACCACTGTTGGATATAGACTATAAGTTAACTTCTCATGCCATACTCTATGGTGTCTTAAAAAATGCCATACCACGATACCTATCTTGTTGTAACTTTCGTTTTATTTCTATGCTATGATAAAATTGTGTACTATATGCACAAACCCAAATAAAATACAAGTTAAAAAAAAAAAGGTAAAATGCGGCGCCTAGAGACATTTGGTGATGACTAGGGGGCCAATAACATGTAGTGCAGTCGGGAGGGGGGGTTATAAAAAAAAAATGTATGACAGTGCCGCTTTAAGACAGGTGAAATATTTGCACAGCCTTAAAGAATCAGAAGAAACGAACGTCCGGCACAAAACTACAAATATCTCTGTGCTGCACAGACAGATTCCTTCCTCCATGACACTTGTAAAAGCCGAAATTGGTCATGGAGATTGGAGTAACCCTTCAGTTCCGTGTGTAGTGTTAAGGTTTTCCTATTCAAGCTTAGGCAGTAAAGCAAATAATGACTTTTTAACTTTTTTTTTTGTTCACATTTCAGAAAGCAAATTCGGAATTTGTTGTACCTTTAATGAGTGTTATGTGGAGTGCTGTGTTATTCTACGCCCTCTGCACACAAAGCGTTCCGTATTTATGTATTAATCCCTTTAGAATGCACTGAGATTAAGCCTTGGGTCAGTGGATTTGCTGATTATAAACCTCCCAATTGCTGATGTATTATCATTTGTATTGTTTATAATCCTGGTATTAATCGGCCTGTGGATTCAATATCAGCCCTAATTGTGAGAACAGATGTTACACTGAAAGAAGCTCATGCAAATATGAAATAGAAATATTAATTACAATGCATCGGCTTAAGACAATTTTGATTCTTATGACATTATTTATTTTCTCCATGATCCTATTAACCATTGTTTTGTTACAGGATGTCATTAGACATGCCTTCAAATATCGAAGGAGAATAGCCTCTGTTTGGGAGCCAAATCCCCTTGTCTCTCTTTCTTACCTTGATGTCAGGCTTTTCCAGGGCATCGGTTTTTGTGTGTATGAGTGTATCATCAGAGCTCCACATCAATAAAACTCACAGTAATGTGCAGTGTGTGAGTGTATCATCAGAGCCCCACAGCAATAAAACTCACAGTAATGTGCAGTGTGTATGATTGTATCCTCAAAGCTCCACAGCAATAAAACTCACAGTAATGTGCAGTGTGTGAGTGTATCCTCAGAGCTCCACAGCAATAAAACTCACAGTAATGTGCAGTGTGTGAGTGTATCCTCAAAGCTCCACAGCAATAAAACTCACAGTAATGTGCAGTGTGTGAGTGTATCCTCAGAGCTCCACAGCAATAAAACTCAGAGTAATGTGCAGTGTGTGAGTGTATCATCAGAGCTCCACAGCAATAAAACTCAGAGTAATGTGCAGTGTGTGAGTGTATCATCAGAGCTCCACAGCAATAAAACTCACAGTAATGTGCAGTGTGTATGATTGTATCCTCAAAGCTCCACAGCAATAAAACTCACAGTAATGTGCAGTGTGTGAGTGTATCCTCAGAGCTCCACAGCAATAAAACTCACAGTAATGTGCAGTGTGTGAGTGTATCCTCAAAGCTCCACAGCAATAAAACTCACAGTAATGTGCAGTGTGTGAGTGTATCCTCAAAACTCCACAGCAATAAAACTCACAGTAATGTGCAGTGTGTGAGTGTATCCTCAGAGCTCCACATCAATAAAACTCATAGTAATGTGCAGTGTGTGAGTGTATCCTAAGAGCTCCACATCAATAAAACTCACAGTAATGTGCAGTGTGTATGATTGTATCCTCAAAGCTCCACAGCAATAAAACTCACAGTAATGTGCAGTGTGTGAGTGTATCCTCAGAGCTCCACAGCAATAAAACTCACAGTAATGTGCAGTGTGTGAGTGTATCCTCAAAACTCCACAGCAATAAAACTCACAGTAATGTGCAGTGTGTGAGTGTATCCTCAAAGCTCCACAGCAATAAAACTCACAGTAATGTGCAGTGTGTGAGTGTATCCACAGAGCTCCACAGCAATAAAACTCACAGTAATGTGCAGTGTGTGAGTGTATCCTCAGAGCTCCACAGCAATAAAACTCATAGTAATGTGCAGTGTGTGAGTGTATCCTCAAAGCTCCACAGCAATAAAACTCACAGTAATGTGCAGTGTGTATGATTGTATCCTCAAAGCTGGTACTGAAATGCTGAATGTCTGCAGTTGCACAACTAAAAAAAATATGAAGTAATCTTGTTTATTTTGAAGTACTATGGGTGCGCTCTTTACTTTGCATGAGTATGCAACTAGCAACAAGACTGGACCAATACGTGCTCATTACATGCATATAAATATATATATATATATATGTGTGTATTACTGTCAGGATCACATCAATTTACATCTATTACCTTTACCTCGTTTAGTGTATCTTGTATCTTGTGTAGATGCTGGGAATTATGGGAACTGCGAGGGAGCATGGTACTTAGCTCCGCCCCCTCCCTCAGTCCTCCTGTGCTGACAGCTATGCTGCTGTCAGTATCCCTCTCCATCTCCAGCCCCCCAGGTGCCGCAGCCCACCGGGAAATTTAACAGTATCCCGGTGGGCCAGTCCGGCCCTGTCTGTGTTTGTATGTGCCGGTGTGTGTCAGGGTGTGTATATCTGTGTTTGTATGCGTCAGTGTGTGTATCTATGTGTCAATATGTATCTGTATGTGTGTGTGTGTATGTATCTGACACACAGATACACACACTGGCACATAATGACACACAGATACAAACACTGGCACATAGTGACACACAGATACACACACTGGCACATAGTGGCACACAGATACACACCTTGACACACAGGTACACACAGTATCATATACACACACGTGCACCCACAGATACACACTGACACATACACACACTGACACACACACACAGGCACATACAAACACACTGATGCACACTGGCTCCCTGCTCGGCTCCCTCACGCGCCTCTTAGTGATCCCAGAGTGACGTCATATTCCAGCGCCAGCATCACTGCTGTGCACGCGAGGGAGCTAAGCAGGGAGATCACTGCACCCACCCACGGCCATTTTATTCTTTTTACTTTTGGCAGAAACGCTGTTCTAGAGCATTATAACTCATAGTAATGTACAGTGTGTATGAGTATATCCTCAGGCCTCTAGATCAGGGGTTCCCAATTATTTTTTCCCGTGGAACCCTTTGACATAGTGTATCAACATCGTGGACCCCCCACGATGATGCACCATTTTTTGTATTTGCCAGTGTGTGTCTGTGTGTCAAGGTGTGTGTATCTGTGTCTCAATGTGTATCTGTGTGTGTGTATATGTATCTGACACACAGATACACACATATCGGCACACAGATACACACACCTTGACACACAGTGTGTATCTGTGTGTGTATGTATGTATCTGTGTGTCAAGGTGTGTGTATCTGTGTTTGTATGTGCCAATGAGTGTATCTGTGTGTCAGTGTGTATGAATCTGTTGAGCGGCTATCGTGCAGTCTCTGTGGTCCAGTGGGGCTACTGAGTGGCTGGAGTGGGGTCCAGTGGGGCTGAGCGTGCGGGTGGCGAGGGAGCAGTGATCTTCCTTCTCAGCTCCCTCGTGCACCTCTTAGTGATGCCGGAGTGATGTCATATTCCAGCTCCAGCGTCACTGCTGTGCGCGCCTGGTAGCTGAGCCAGGGAGAGTGCTCCCTGCACGCGGCCATTTTGTTTCACAAAATTTAGGCGGAACCCCATTTTTGTTCTCGCGGAACCCCAACTGGAAAACGCTGCTCTAGAGCAGTTTAACTCACAGTAATGTGCAATGTATGACTGTGTCATAGCAAAGCTCTCTGTGTGTGTTTATGGAAACTACTGTCTGAGTAGGTTTTGGGGTGAATCCAGTGGATTTGATTTTCAAGGGAACACATTTTTTGTTTTATTTTTTTATTTGAACAGTCTTCACGAAGCTTGACAAAAGCTGGTGTTTTCCTCTTCTGTTATTTAGACAAGAAATTTTTTTATTTATTTAATTTTGCCTGAATTTGATAGCCTGAGTGCTGGAGTGATTGTCATAGCCCAACATTTACAACCTTTCACTGCTGCCAAAATATGTATGGATAATGAGGAAGTAAAGTTTCTCATTACCTTGCATCTCCAGGTACGTGAACATTGGGTGCTGAAAGAGTAAATAAAAATATAAAAAAATTTAACAAGTCTGCATTTCGACTAAAACTTGAAGGGACTGCGCAATAGCCAATGAATTTAGTAACCGTTTAAGAATCACAGTAGGTTAATATACTGGAAAAAATGTGCATGAAGCAATCCTTAAAGGGGGAAGGGAAGAAATACTTTTAGAAATCCTTTTAAGTCAACGAGGCACATGGAACAGCCAGAAATTCTCCTATATGTCAGCAATTCATCAAGAACAATGAATAGGCACCTGTAAGCATTTTAGGACATTGAAGAGTATTAGGTCCTCAGGCAATGAGAGCAGATTAAATTATTCTCATTGACGAACCCTTTCAGTAGGATTTTGTTGATGAGCTCTATTAGCCCATGATAGAAGCCAGATTGCAGATCACAAAGCCAAGCTATGAAGCGTTTCCCTTTTTAGTGAAATAACCTGGAAATGTCTCCCCGATTTGCATCTGGAAATCGGTTTAGTGCCGAGTCTATCAGACATTGTTATCTACATTCCGGAAATGGACACTTCCTCCTGTTTTAGAATTT